TGGCGTTCGTGCGTCCGATGGATCAACGGGCTGCTCGTCACCACCATCGGAATTGGCGTCGTCTTCTTCGCCGGCGTTGCGAACCATGTTTTTTCCCCAGACAAAAACCTCGTTGTCTTCGGTCAGCAGCGCACCGTGGTGAAACCCGGCCCCAATGGCTACTACTCGCGGATTGCCGTCGGCGTTATCGAACTGGATTGGCCGTGCCCACGGGTCTTGATCCGAGTCCACGGTTCGTCCCAGCTGACCACGCGARGCTTTGCCCCAGCTGTACACCTGCCCGTCTCGTGACAGAGCATAGCCGTGCTGGAAGCCCAAACAAACCTGCACCATCGGYTGATCCTGTTCGGAGGCCATTTTGTCGCTAATTTTGTCTCCTCCTCCTATGTTCAACGACGTCATCGACAACCCCCTTACCGCTTGGGGCGTCCAAACGTTGTTGCTGATAGCACCTGTCCCGCACTGGCCTCGGTTGTTCACCCCCATTGTATACAGGGAACCGCATTCCGAGATCATAGCGAGGAAACCAGGYCCACAGGCCAGTTGTTTGATTCTCGTCGTGTCGAATTCACCAGCCGTCTTTCCTATCTTCGTACCGCCGCTGTGGTTGACCTCCACCCTGGTCCAGTCGTCCAGGAGCGAGAATTGCTCCGCTACCTTCCACCTCTCGTTGTCTCCGGGCACCCCGCCCAGGCTTCCCGTGGCCCACCCGATCAGGCTCGAAACCATCGTTCCGACGGGAGTGGTCGCACTCGTGTCGTGGTTTCGATTGATCCACCGCTGGAGCAGCCCGGGCATGCGGTTCAGCCGCAGCAGCGACACGAGGTCGTGGGGCCGGCCTACGACCCGGAGGGCACCCCGCGTGTCCAGGAAGGCGCTGACGCCCCACCCGGCGGCGGCGCGCTGGACGTCGTCGTGTTCGTAGATCAGAACCGGCCGGGGGGAGGCGGGGGGAGACAGCCACTCGAGCGATGTCCCGTCGTCGCTGCCGGTCCGGTGGGGTCTTTCTTCCGGATCCCTTTCGCCGTCGAAGCCCGCTCCTTCCTCGTCGAATTGACCGGGAATCGACTTGAAGATGTGTTGGCGCGTCAGCGCACCCGTCCATCCTTCGCCGACACCATAGATCGCAAAGGATCGGCGGTGACAGTGACGGTGACGGCCATGCAGGTAGTCGGAGGCATCGATTCGTCTCCGAATAAGCCGGAAGCGAGACCCGATGCTGCTTCGCATTGTGCTTTTTGTTGATTAGGACGGAAMAGACAACTGTGTCAATACARTATTATTCTTGTAAACAAGCAATGGCAACTYGGGCATCATCCATSAACCGCAASTGCGACACCCCARTTTGAAAATTATTTTTCGTTCCTTTTTGCCTGCGGTGGTACAATTCGATCTGTCCCTAAATAAGTGTCTTTATTGCACCTTATTGAGCGAAAGAGCTAAAGTGCTTCGTACTGTACCGTACGGTTCGTACCAAGGTCGATGTGCATGATATGACATGATATGATGAGCTACTAAAAAACATTAAATTTCAATTTCTGCTTTAGCTTACAGTATTTTTTATTAAAGTAATTTTATTGCTTTTTCGTACTTTTTTTAGAAGAAAGTGATGCAATTTTGCAATTTCTGACGCGCGCATAGTGGTGTACTCGGATGAGTCGTTGAAAAACCTCGCAAAATTGGGTCCCTCACTTGTTTTTCACCTTCAGGCATGCACGCACGTGCAAACTGGTGCAGCGCATGCCTCAAAACGATTCAAAACGGCTTTCCCTCCAACAATTACTACAACAACTACCGACACTGGGAGCAAATCCTGTCTCATCTAAATTGCAAGTAGCAATCAAAGAAAAGGTCGGGTGAAACTGTTGTATAGGCGTTATTGCATGATAGCCTCCAATTTCGAATGAGTCAACCTCAATAGAAGTAATTGCTATTCTGTACCGTACACGCATCATTGAATACCGAACCATGTTTATCTTCGTGCTCTTTTCTTCCTCCTTTTCTTGATAGTCGTGTTTCCGCTTTCATCCACAATGAAATAGAATTGCTCGTTGTGCTTTCAAAAAGTCCTATTCTAGTGTGTTGTGATGTCACCCCGAGGGAAACCTATTGGACTCGCCCAGCTATGCTATAGGCTACATAACTGTGCACATATTGTCCACCATCWGACCTAGATAATAATCAAATACCCATCGATGGCTGAATCCAAAACATGCGCTCGACACCCTTYGATTTATTAATGATTGCTCAACAATCTCCTGCTCAAGCTTGTTTGCCGTTTCGATAGCTGCTTCTCTCGGTTTCTCGCTTGATTTCATGGAAAYASTGSAAATCCTTCTGACGTTATTCTCGTAATAAATTGATGTTGTTAATGCTTGGTTCGCTATATCCCCTTTGCTGGTCCGATGCTCCAGTAGAACGCGTCTCATGTGATTGTGGCACCGAGCAGACTTCAGTTTCACTTTAAACCTGAGATCGTYRGAATTCAAAACATTCATTCGAAACCTCCCCATKTCGACTGCGGTGAACCAGACATCTCTCGCAAATTTTCTCGGTATCCGCTKGAATATTGTTACGGTCTTTTGATCCGCAAAGGAAACTCTTCGAATCGGTTTTTCGGGCACACAGCTCGCCCTTCGTGGATTGGGAGTTTCGTAATTTTTTAATGTAAGCATCGTTCGTTCGTTTCGTTTCGTACTTTTGACACTCGTTTTTCCTTGGCCATTTTCGGTCGCCCTCTTGAGCAATGCAGTACTGCGTTTCGAGTATGATGGAGACATTGGACCATCGAATCGAGGTTTTGGTTTTCTGCCRCTACTTCTATCGCGTGTAATGGTTCCCATGCAAGTCCTMAGGCCTGGTTTGGTCGAATTATCTTTCAACATGCCGRGAGCGTTGACCTTTTGATGCAGAAAGTCCAGCGCAAGAAAAAGAAGCGTSAGAAATATTGACAAAAAACATCAATTAGAAACAAACGCAATACGACAAGAAATCGCATTGGTCACTCCATGGATATCCTTTGTTGGGAACCAAGAACGTACAAGCCGATTTTGGCCAGCACATCAACTGTATTCTTTCCACAAGAACTTTCCACAAGAAAGGAGATAATAAATTACTGAGAGCCTTAGCCTGAGTAACAATGATGTTTTCGTTTGTGTGTTTGATAACCAGTTCGAAAGATATGTGATTTCTTTGTGAAAGAAGAATAAGCGTACGGATCATGCAGCTGCAGGTGCTCTCGTAGTACGGTATTAGAATATTTTGTTCAACGTTCGATCATAGTTTTCGAATCAACCTACCGTAGTTCTTTCTTGAATCACAGATGAGAGAAACTCCTAAAAACTTCTCTTTTCATAGAAAAGACAAAAATTCCCGTCACGCTCCTCGAACATTTAGGAAAAATCGATGTCAACAAATTTGATTCTTGTAGATCATAACTTAGCACGTGTGAATGCAGGGCGCCAACATGTATTCTGTGAGTAAGAGCACCCCGGATGCGCGAGTCATGCTCATGCATGCTCGTTCTACGGTACATCATCGACTATGCTTGTACGAGAAAGTACTAGTAACAGTACTGCTGTAGGTCACGAGTAGCTAGTGAATCACGAAAACGACCAAATAGAGTCTATCACTCGTTAGCTACTCGTGATTCAGTCTGACAGCCCGTACTCGAACCCGAACCAACGTTCGTACCGTACCGTACCGTACTACGGTACGTATGCGAAATGCTACTGTTCTCTCGTCGTCCGTTCGTCGCGCGATCTTCGTCGAGAGCATCGACTATCGTCCACTTCTTTCCTTGACACCTTTCARTCATCTCCAAGAGAGAAGATATTCTTATCACTTYTAAGGGGCTACGTACCTATCGTTGCTCGTGTGATTCCTGGTCAATACCGCAAGACAGTTCCATTGTCATTGTTACCTGTTACTGATGATTTCTCGCTCGCCTTCGGTATCACAAAACCGATTGTGCGATGCTTCACCAACCCGTCCGACAGAAGTTAGCAGAACCTGTTATTTTTTCTGTTTGCGATCGACCATCCACTCTACCATGACGTTGCAGAGAAGAGTATAGGTTCCTGTGTTGCGTGCAGCGACGCCGAGTCACCGGTGGGCACAGTGATGCAATGTACGTATTCGGCATTCCCCCTCTTGTTCGTTCTTGGATTGGTGGTTTTGATTCCAATTTACCTCAGTACACGCACGGGTCCTCTGGGCAGCCAAAGATACCAAACTCTCGATGCATCTAAAGGCAATCGGCTCCGTGCAATAGAAACAACTTTGTTGGGAACCCGCGCACATGGTGTGTCATTTTGACCGTTGATGCTCATATGTTATTGGTGTTTTTCATTTTCTTGCTCGATTTACAGGACTGCCAGAATTGGAACTTTCGCGGCGGACGTCGGAAGAACGACCGAAGTGAGTACAAYTCTGTGCGGTACGGCCCCTAGAGAAAGTGTGGCAACGTGGTGGCGTGCGCAAAGTTGATGGTGGCAGTGTCAATGATGAACACTCTTTTGCTGTATGTACTGCTCGGAAAGAAACCCTTTTGGAACGAATCGGTCATGTCGCCCTCGGCAGTCCAATTGCGTGGAGTTTGGTACGACCCTTGGGTGCAACCCTCCTGCAAGTGGGCGCATTCAACCCCAACTGTGATACGATTATATATTTTTTATAATCCTTTTGGTCCCGATGCCATGCCCAGAGGCTTTTGTCGCGCTCCGCCGCACGAGGGAATCGGCCACCGCTCGCGAGATACGGTCCATTCGAGACGCTTTCTTGCGTGGTGCCGTGGATGTTGTGCACCGGTGCGCGCCGCCTCCCGGCAGGGCAYCGATCGGACCGACCCGAAGGTTCCTCGCCGACAAGCTCGTCCTAGGCGACGGTTCGGTTTCTTGCAAGACGAGGACGACTCTCGGAATGGTGCGATTGTGTGTGCGCGCGCCGCCGAGGCGCGGCGACCCCACCACCGCGAGCTGGTTGCCCCGCCGATGCTCGCCTTGTTGTGTGCTCGGCGTGGGCCGACCCCACCGGGTGCACGGTTTCCGGCAGCACCACCGGGGCACGGTGGAAGCATTCGGTTTCCCCGCGCCCCACCGCTCGCKCGGACGCGGTGCCCGCCGGGAACACCCCAAACGTCACCGAGAGCCCCGTGCTCGGCTCGGCCCGGTTCGGGCCGCCATTCCGCTCGRGAGAACCCAAGACGAGGAACACCTCTGAGACCCACGCCACCGAGCCAGAACCGCGCACGCCGTCCCCTTTCGTCTCGATCCTCGGTTGTCGTTCTAGGTAGACGATAAGCACTCGTTTCAATATTCCTTCTYTTTTAAAACCAACAAAAACCATCTTTCTATTTTCTCATCGGTGTTGTGTTTTCCCCTTTGCTTCCCATTTATCGAACTGAACTGGCCGTGCTCAATTTAAAGCTCCGGACCTCTTTTGATTGGACTTGGCTGTTCCTCACCTCGTAGTTCTTAGTATTGCAAGCGAAATTGATCGGTACGGGAATCAACAMCTCTTGTCGAGGGCAGTCGCGCTCATCGTGCTTTGGTTCCCCTTTGCGGGAAGATACGGCTCCATTGGGAGCACCAGAAACAAACCCCACTATTCTTCTGTGATCCACCCGGTAGCTAAAGCCCCATGGCAGTTTTACTATTACGTTGGAATCGRTGGAAGTACCCAACTTTTCCGAAACTACGAGTGATGGGACGAATCGATCAAAGGCCTAGGCTATATCTAAAATTCCAAATCTTAAATCTTGCCTTGCTCGTGCTATGTTTTTGTTCAAGCTCTGCTGGAGCARCACCGCCGTGCGCATWGCGGGTCTGGACCTTGTTCMTACATATGTTGCGAAACTATCRATCACGGAGAGGACCGCTCRCAAGACAGCCGAGGCTACAACCCAGCTTTCTCGATCGTTGCTCTCTCGGGTCCTCTGTGCGTGGCTTGCTTCCACAGCGGCAGCGCTCTAGCTACGAGGCCGAATGGTCGGTCGAGACGGCGGGAGTTCGTTCCCGCCGCGCCGYG